GAAAGGCTTCCTTCAGAAGGGTCATTTGTACGGAGCCTTGAAGGATTCTGAGAAGTGCAGGCGAGGAAGGAGAAAAGAGAAATTGCTTATGGGAAAGTGGTCTGTCTGCTTTACTAAATAAGTAATATTTAACAAACTAGAATGGGGATTCTGAGCTGGTAAATTGAGAGAGAAGTTGTAATTTTATTCATTAGTGAGAAAATATACCAATGTACTCCTGGACTCCCCTAGAATACAAGTGATGAGGATGAATATGGCAGTGAGTCACCTAGGTTTGACTCACATCTAGTAAGCACTGACTAGGGGCCATGCCCCATGTTAGCCTCTGAGAACACAAGTTCAATGAATGAAACAGTCCCTATTTTCAAAGAGCAGGGATTACATTCTGAGAGGGTGGAGGGAAACAACAAAGACATATGTAAGTATATACAGAGTAAAATATGAAGTAAATAAATACAAAGTAGTTAAATACAAGGTAGGTTCAGAGAAGGGCACTAGCAGGCAGGAGCTCAAGAAAGATTTCCAGTATGAGGTGGTCCCAATACATGCTGCGTCTCAAGGGGAGAGGGGGGTTCTTCGAGGCCAAGGTGAGGAAAGGAGTCCATTCTGTGCGCTGAGGACAGCCAGTACAAAATCCCAGAGGCCAGAGGAGGAGAGTGTGTTATGTGAGCGACAGAGAAGAAGGACGAGGTGAGGGAAGGTGAGAAATGTCCAGAGAGGCTGGAAAGATAGGTTGGAGCCAGGTTGTACAAGTCTTTAAAACCTCAGCGGGGAAGATTATGTTTTATCCTGGGGCAATAGGGAGCCTATGGAGTTTATTGTGTAAGGGAGTGAGTGACGTGGTCAGATCTGTGCTTAAGGACAATCACTTTAGCGGAGTGGTGGATGAACTGGCATGGGGAGAGACTCAGGGAATGAAAGCAATTAGGAAGCCACTGCAATAGGTGCTGCGTGATGAGGGCCCGAGCCACAGTGGTGGCTGGGTGAGGAGAGAGAAGCTGGACATCAGAGCTTCTGTGGGGCCAAGAGCAACAGGGTTTGGCAATTGAGCGAACATGGGGGGTGAGGGAGAGGGGGAGGCGGAAGGTAAGGCCAGTGTCACCAGTCTGGGCGACTGGAGGAACGGTGGTGCCTTTGACAGAAATACAGAAGTTTGGAAGAGAAGAGGGTTTGGGGGAAAAGAGAATGAGTTCTGCTTTAACTGTGTTAAGTCTGACCTGCCTCTGAGATACCTAGTTTGAAACATCCAATAGGAGATTGGTGATATGTCACCAAAGCTTAGAAGAGACTGGGGCTGGATACATAGTCACATGTACAGAGCTGATAATTTATTCCATGGGAGCTGATACAGTCACCAGAAAAGTGTAGGGAAAGAGAAGAAGGTCTAAGACAGGACCTTAGGGGACCCTCCATAGTTAAGGAATGTGACATCCATGCTGAGCCAACAAAGGAGACTGAGAAGCAGTTAGAGAGATAGGAGAACGGAGAGAGTAGTATTACAAAAGCCGAGAGAAGAAAGGAGAGTCAACAGAGGCAGATGCGGTAGGTAGGTAGGTAGGTAGGTAGGTAGATAGATAGATAGATAAATAGATAGATGGATGGATGGATGGATGGAGAGACAGGTAGGTAGGTAGGTAGATGGTTAAAGATAGATTAAAAAGAAGCACTTCAGTATCTTTGCCAAGAAATTCCAAATGGGGTCACAAAGAGTTGGACATGACTGAAATGACGAACAGCAATAAATAGGCTGAGAAGTTTGAGAAGCAAGAAGATACCATTAAATTGGGCAGTGTAACTGTGGTCGGTACCTTTGGACAGAGCTCCTTCAGTTGAATGATGAGGTTGGAAAGCCAGATTGTAAAGTGAGAGAGGAGAGGCTTTGGAGTCATTCTGTAGAGACAGCTTATTCTAGTAGTTTAGCTGGGAAGGGGAGGAGAGATATAAGACTACAGTTTGAGAAGTCAGGCTCTAGTGAAGGGTTTTTTGAGGATGGAGGAGACCTAGGTATGTTTGAAGGCAGTAGGGAAGGAACCACTAGACAGAAACCTCCAGGTGAGTAACTGCCCTTCCTCTCTCCCATGATCCTGCTGCAGGTATAAAAAGGGCTGAGTGGAAGAATCTGGGGAATACAGGCTGTTGATATAGGCCTTGTCAAACCTGCCATTTGAGTTATTTTGGTTCTGTGCATGATAGAAGCAGACTGTAAATTGTGTAGTAAAGCATAATTCCTATTTTGCTAATGTAACAGCTCAAACCCTCAGATTTCTATGTAGTTGTCTTATTGATACAGCTTTGCTGATTTTACAGTGCTGAGTATATTTTCCATTTTCTGCCGGGTGATTTTGTGGACTGTGTTCATGATCCCAGCCCTCAGATGTGCCTAAGAATGTGGTTTTGATGAGTGAAGACAAACACTATGGGATAGCCTCATAAAAAAGTAGCTCCGTGAGGACGGGTTGAGTTTGAACAGGAGCTTCCTAAACAGCTGGGATTTCTTGAGCTGCTTGCAATTTGCCTTTGGTGGTTTTTTTTGTTTGTTTGTTTGTTTTTGTTTTTTGCTTAGGCAACTGGGGTTAAGTGACTTGCCCAAGGTCACACAGCTAGTAAGTGTCAATTGTCTGAGGCTAGATTTGAACTCAGGTCCTCCTGACTCCAAGGCCAGAGTTCTATCCACTGTGCCACCTAGCTGCCCTTTGTTTTAAAGACCTAAAAACCCAAGACTACAAGAGAAAATGGGGGGGACATGGCAATCTCATTGATTAGCAGCTTTTCTGGAGTAAACTTTATGCACCCTTAATTAGGAGTTCCCCTGACTCCAGCAACAGCAGCAGTCAGGAAATCCTGGCTCCCGGGGACTAGAATTGCCAAGGCCTGATGCAGATTTCTTCAGGCCCTGCGCTGGTATCTTCAAGCACATTTATAGACCTCATGCGCCGTAGGCTCTCTTCTCAGCCCTTCCTCCTGCCTGCCAGCCACTTGCCCCCATCCTATTTACAATCCTCAGGTTCTCCGAAGCAGTTTTGAAACTTTCAGCCCTCTCTACTTGAGCCCATACAAGAGCTTAGTGCCCCAAGTGGCTGTCCCCTGAGGTGGGTTAACCTGCTGCTGATCCAAATTGTTCATACTCTAGGAGCAGAACCTCAGCGCATGAGCAGGCAATGAGAATTTTTAGCAGATTCCTTTGGAAGTTTACACCCTATTCCTATGTAATAACAGCCTGAATCTTAGGTCCAGACTTGATTTACTAAGCCTAGGAACTGACTTGGTGATGTTCTATCATTTTCTCACACATTGAATGTTTATATTAAATTTGAACACGCACAGAATTGTGATTTGTCATCATTTTAGCCCAGTAGGACCAGTTTTCTGTGGAAGTTAACTCTCCTTAACATCATTCCTGTAACAAATTTTTTGAGTTTTTTTTTAGTTTCCTAAGAGGAGTTGTTATAGAAGGCATTATAATACTATCTACTTGGTAAGAGGCTCTGTAGTGTAGTGGATAGAGGGCCTACCTGAGAACCAGAAAAGCCTGGGTTCAAGTCCCATCCCTGACTCACCCCAGTGAGCCAGTCATTAAACTTCCTGTCTTCTCCTTAGCCTGTGGGCTCCTTAAAAGCAGGGATTGCTTTGGCTGTTTTGCCTTTCTTTGTATGTGTCAGTGCCTGACACATAGTAAGTAGGTGCTTAGTAAATGCTTGCTGACTTATGTTTGCTTTGGGTGTATTTGTTGAACCAGTTTTTGGAAAGGTTGCCCAACAGGGCAAGGATTCATCGACCTTTTTGCAGAGAAGAGCAGCTTTCTGGTTCCCTAAAGCTTTGATATCCTCCCTCCACACCCCCACCCCACAAGGTGGGGAAAAACTGGCAGGCAGGTGCCCCCAAGCTACAGCTTCATCCTCACCTTTGAAAACGCTTCTGAGCATTTCGATGCTCCTGCTGCCTGGCAGTATAGCCTGAGACAATTTGTGATTGACAGGTTGGGGACCCTTGCCTGGCATATCAAGGTTCTAAAAGTCTTTAGGGAATCCCTACAGACAGAGCTGAGCCTGATATTGGTTCCCATCTGCTCTCCCTGGTTGCTTGAGCAGAAAGCCAAGGGAATGGCAGGGCAGGAAGGGGGGGATAGAGGGTCGCAGAGGGTATAGGACAGTGAGGAGCAAGGACTCAAGTGCCTTCCATTTACATTGTGTTTGTCTGCTGGTCAGTTCTTAGCTCCTGCTTTCTGGCTGGGGTAGCTGAGGACAGTTTCATAGAAAGACGGAGCACAGCCAAGGCTAAGAATATGGGTTATTTATTTCCCTTCCAGAGTCACTAGTGCAGTGTGTGCTGTGCTTGGCCTGCCCACCAGCATTATTGATGTATAGCTTCTGAAAGTTCATTTATTCATATTTGATGTGCCCAGTGGCAGTGGCTGAAGTTAAGTAATCATTTACAAGGGTTTTGTGGGAAACACTTCGGTATTTGGGAAATCTCAGATCAAATCAAGTCTGCTCCAGAGACGCTTTCTAGGAACGTGATTTGCAAAGGCTTTTTGAAGCTGGCTGTCCAGTGGGACCTAGCACAAGCTGATGAAAACGATGTTCTTTTGTTCTTCAGTCTTCCCAGTCATTAAATAGCTGCTCTGTTAGTTAGACGGCAAGGCTGGAGCTTCCCTTCTGTTCTGGAGCCCCTTCTCCTTTCCAGTTGGCTTGCAGTCATAAGCTGATTTGGGCACCCTGCCATCACCCCTTCTTTCTCGAGATTCTTTCTCCGCCTTCATCAGCGCTACAGATGTTTAAAATAGAAGTTTCTTAGTAATCCTTACAAAATCCCATTGAGCACATTCAGACCAGGTACTGAGGGTCTCTGCTTACACAAGGGCGAAGTGGGCCTGGAAGCCTGCGATCAAAGCAGGGCAGAAATGGGGACACCCCTTTTTCCCCCCCCTAGTCCCCAGCTTAGGAGGTCCGGCCGTGCCTCCCCTTCCATCCAGACCCAGACCTTCCGTGCTCTGCTTGCAGGTTGTCCCAGATGATCCCTCTGCAAAAGCATTCCCAGAAAAATGCTGTGTATACGCAGTTCATAGCCACATTACTTGAAGAGTTACATTTCAAGAATGAAGACCTTGAAAGATTAACCAGGATATTTACAGCTAACTGTTTGCCAGAATGGTAAGTTATCACCCTTGGCTCCTTCCCTTCCCGTCCCCTCCCTCTGCCCCCCTGCCCCTTTTGGGTGCGATTCCCTACCCCCACCCCCACCAGTTTGGAGACCTTGAATGCAAATCCTCAGATGTCAGCCCGAGAGGTCACAGGGCTGTGCTTCCTCGGTCACTTTTCTCAAGGGCTATAGCAGTGGTAGTCTGGACACCTCCCAGCACTCCTTCCTTATGAACTTCAAAGTGGGACCCATGAGTGCCACTTACTCCCCCACCCCTGGCTTTCCCAGTTCCCAGCTGGGAAGTTTCCCACCAGGAAGTGGAAACTAACCCAGCCTGAGAGCCAGCCGTGCCCAGGAGAGAACATTCTCATCTCCAGCCCTGAAAGCAGCTTAGGAGCCTCGCTGGATTTATTCCATAGCCACCTGACAGATCCCTGTCCTGGGGAGGTACTGTGCATGTTACTGCAGGTTTCTTCCAAAGTAAAAAATATCTTGTTATGCATTTCTAAGAGAAAATTGGAGACACTCACACCTAAAGTGCGCAGTCTATAAAATGCGTAGTGTTCCAGCATTAGCCTTCGTGGGGCTTTGTGTATGAGTCAGTCACAGTGTGGCAGGTTTGCGGGCAGTGAAGCTTCAAACCGTCCATGTCATTGAGAAGAAGTCAGTGCTGGGGCTGCATGGCACCAGGGACATAGTTCTGTTGGCAAAGGTGGATCTCGGGTGAGGGTCTGGAGGAATTGGGAGCAGCCCCCCAGCCCTGTGACCTGGCGGACACAGGAAGCCTCCAGCGCCCTGGGCCAGCTGGCCAAGGTTAGCTCACTTCCCTCCTGCCCTTTCTGAACCTCAGCCTGATGCCCAACCTTTTCCCTGTGGTTCCCATTTGAGGGGCTCAGTAGCAGTTGTTTTAAGTATTAAATACTTCTCTTACATTACACACTTATCTGTGTTCTTTACGTTGTGCTATAATAGCAACCTTGCCTCGTTTTAGACTAACTGCCAGGTAGTTAACATGGAAAGTGCTCCGAAGCCTTCTTTCTGGGCCCTTCCTCTTGCTTCACAGACCCAGTCCGAGAAGACACAACAGAAGAAAGACCTCACGTCCTTCTCCCGGGTCAGGCACTTCATCATTTACGGAGATTCTGCAGCTTTTATTTCCTTAATTAAAGTTCAAGTCTCAGTATCCGAGAGAAGCTGTTCAGCGGCCTGGCTTGTCGGGGTCAGTTCCCACCCGTGTCACAGGTGACTGATAGGAGGCGTGAGAGCTTCCCTGTGCTAAGCTGAGCTTCCCAGTGAACTGCCGAGCAGTCGGCCAACAGGAGTCAATAAAAGGAGTTTTCTCAGGAAGCTGCTGTGGCACTCACTCCATTGCTCTCTAGAAAAGCTGTGACTCATGAGTTTACAGGGGATACAGCCACCTAGAGTCAAGCCTGAAGCCTGCTTACCCTTTCTTAGAGTTTAGGAAACCTGAAATTGTCTTTAATTTTCAAGAAAATCATTTTCTAGAAATGAGGTTGCCTTGTCCAATGGCATGTGTCAGGCATGATGCCAGACCTATGGGTGCCATCAGATTTCTGTGGTTGTTCAGTGGTGCCCACTCTTCACGACATATATGTGTGTGTGTGTGTGTGTATGTGTATGTATCTAGCCAGCCTTTATCTCTCTCTCTCTCCCACGTTCCAGTCTCTCATCAGCTGACTTTTAGCCATCTTGAACTAGACGTGTCCCATAATCATAAACTCAGCATGTTCCAAAACAGACCTTAATTTTTGTCTCCCAAACTTTCCCTTCTTCCTGACTTCCCTATTACTGTGAAGGGCACCACTGTTGTCCCAGTCCACCAGCCTCTCAGTCACGCTCACCCCATGTATCCAGTCTTCATCAGATCTCTGTCTCTAACTTCATGGGGTCTTTCACATATATCCCCTTCTCTCCACTTGTACAACCACACCCTAGCATAGGCTCTCATTACCATCTTCCTGCCTCAAGTCTGTCTCCACTCCAGTCTATCCTCTGCCAAAGTGATTTTCCTAAAGTTCAAATCTGACCATGTCACTCCCTTACTCTATAAATTTCAGTGGCTCCCTGTTACCCCCAGGATCAAATATGAAATCCTCTGACATTTAATACTTCACAGCCTGGCCCTTTCCCACCTTTCCAGTCTTCTTAAATGATCCAGTCATACTGACCTGCTTGCTACTCCTAGCATGCAACACTCCCAAATGCATGCTTTGTCATCTTCCATCCCCCTCAGGCCGGGAATTCTCTTTCTCCTCACTTCCAGCGCCTGGCTACCCTTTCTTCAAGGCTCATAGCCTACCTTCTGCCTTTCCTGGACCCTCCCACTGTGAGTGCCTTCCCTTTGAGATATGGCTACACCATGTATATCTTGTCCATACATAGCTGTTTGCATATTGTCTCCCTATTAGAATGTGTGCTTCCTGAAATCAAGGACAGTGATTTTTTTTCTGCATTTCTTTGTAACCCTTGTGCTTAGAACAGTCCCTGGCACACAGTAAATGTTTAATAAATGCCTGTTTACTGACTACAACCCCAGAACGCACATATGAATAGCATCTATAATACTAAATGCCGACCAGTTTATTAAATGAATTAATAAAGGAATGAAATAAAAAATTCCTTTTGGTCTCTATTGTTAAGCCACCATTCAAAAAAAAAGAGCATGGTTTAGTTATTCCAACCCATTTAAATATTATGCTTCATTTACGAGGAATATTGAGAATATGGTCAAAGGTTTTGCTGATGTTTTTAGTGGCTAATTAAAAAGAAAAGAGTAAAGACTTTTTTTAAAAGGAAGAAATAAATATTAAAGCCTGAAACTGCAGGTACACCCCTTCCCTAAAATCTGTGGCCATCTGAAATTCCAGCTTGAAATGCCTTTGGACCACTGGGAAGGAGTCAGATCCAAGATTCACCAACATTTTTGATGGGAAAGGGAGCTTACTGACAGCCCCACTTTGCTCCTCCTGACTGTTAAAATATCATTGCCTAGAGTCTTGTAAATCTGAACAAAAAGGACTTTTAAAAGGAAGGAAAGAGAAATTTGCCTATTTACTAATCTAGATACTCTAAAAAGTAGCCATGCCATGGGAGGAACAGTAGCACAGAAGACCGGTAATTCTTAGAAAGCCAAACTGAAGACCAAAATCACCAGTAAAATCCATGGGCTCAGATGTCTGAATCCAAATACACAGAATAGCAATAATGAGCAAGGTGGATTTGGGAAACTGATAACAAACTGACAATCTAGACACCCCTAAGACTAGGATATGGTCTTAGAAAAGCATGCTTTATTCACAGGAAATAGAAAAACCTTAGCTAATGGGTGGGAACAGATTTAGATTTGATGTAAAGAAAATATATGAAGGTGAGGAAATCCAGGCATCAGCTCAAGAAAGAATGGCAGAGTGAATCAGCAGAAGGACAAGCGGAAGCAACATTCCCAAAGGATTCAGAAGTAGGAAGTAGCACGCTTGGTGCCAAAGTGGGCTATGGTAATGGCAGCCAGTGCTTTATTGAAAAAGTACTTCTATGTGTGATCTTTAGTCAGTCTTCACAAGTCTCCAAAGAACTATGTGTATTTCTCCATTCAATAAATCAGGAAGCGGGTTTAGAGGTGACTTTCCTGTGGTCACAGCCAATAAAATCTAGAGGCAAGATTCAAACTCAGATCATCCTGACTGCAAGCCCAGCACTTTACTGATGGTGCCATGATGCCTCATTGAGATGGGACCTAAATTATCTGGAAGTTTTCTGGAGCTCTTTCTACGAGTAATTTTTCAGCTTGCTTTAATGATGATTGGTGGTGTGAAAGCAACAAGGGAAATTGCTATTCTTGGCAAATTGCCGTAGAGGTGCAGAGACCATCTAGTCAAAATCTCTCACTTGACAGATGAGGAGACTGATACCCAGGAAAGTCACAGATAGGAAGCTTCATAAGGAGCATCTGAACCTAGCCAGGGGCGGGGAGCCTGCGGCCTTGAGGCCACATGTGACCCTCTAGGCCACAGGTTCCTGTATTGCTAAGCAGCCTTATTTAGTGCAGCTTAAATTGGTTTTGGTTCGGATTGCTTTAGAAATGACAGAGTCTAAAGTTTGATTTATATATAAATATATATTAAAAGTATTTATTATTAAGATAGTAAAATAGGATTACGGTTAGTAAGTAGAGTTAGAATTAGTAAGTCCTAATAGGTAACAATAGCATACTTAAGTTTCAATTGGTATCAAATCTTGTCACAATCAATCATCACCATGGGGGGGAACCATGTATGTCTGGGTCACATGGGCTATGGAGTCCCGGTTTTCAGCCTCCAGAGTCCCAACAGGAAAATCCCAGGTTACATGTCCACACCTCGGGGGGAGACTCCGAGGGTGAAGTCAGGGCTGCCTGCTTTTAGTAGTTCCTTCTGTGATCTGTGGGAAAGCAGCTGCTCTCAAAACTATCCTTGAGAGTATTCCTGTTTATGACTATCCAGTTCCTGGAGGGGTGGCCAGCCATAAACAGTCCTTCAATGTCTAATTACGAATAAGATTGACATGAAAAAAGAGTCAGGGTCCAATTGCATGCATAGTGAGCCTTGGCTTGAACTCACCGAGGGCAGTTGGGTAACTCCTCTTCCCAAAGAAGCAGCCGTGGTCCAATCCCTCCCTTAGTCTGCCTTGGTCTGTGTCAGAATGTCTTTTTTAAATTCATTCATCACAGTTCCCTACCCAGACCTAGGCTCTTTGACTCCCAGGCCTAAAGCCTGTCCACTGTGCCAAGGAATTGCTGCTTGCTGAAGCGGGCATGTTGGGAAGTGACCCCTCCATCTTGGCTGTGAGAGAGGAGAAGAAAATGCAACAGGTACAAAAGATGAAAGCAGGGGCAGCTAATAGAGAACAAAAAAGATGGCATGGTCCTTTGAGAGTAGCCTTGGGAGAGCCACAGCTCAGAATGAGCCACACTTGGTGAAGGATGCTAAGGATGACACAACTGTTCAGTTTTGTTTGAGCCTTTTAGCAGGGGAAAAAAGCAGACTAAGGGGGAGATTGGACCACGGCTGCTTCTTGCGGATGAGTGAAAGAAATGAAACGATTCTGCTCCGTGGCGAAGAGGTGACAGGACTGCTCAGGCTTTTATCTGGTTTCTGTTTTCTCTGCCAAGGAGAAGGATGTGCACTGGAAAGGAAAGAGCAAAAATGACTAGGGAGATGAAGGCCCAGACAACCACCCTGGTGACTCAAAGAAATGAGGAGGCAGTCTGTTATTTCTGGTGCCTCGTGACAGCAAAAAGACAAACTTCCAACAAAGGGAAGGTGTGGAAGCGGCGGGTGAGTGAGCTTGACTCAGTTCCTGGCAAAACTTCAGAATGTGGGACCGTGATTGAACACCTTCTGGGAATTCTCCCTAAGGGGAAGACCATTGGATCTGTGTTTTGAGCTCATCTTGGCCACTTACCACCTACATAATCTTGCTCAAATCATATAACTTCTCCTTGTCTCTGTCTCTTCAACAGTAAAACAAAGGGGTGGACCATTCTACCTTTAAGGACTCTACTGTCTGTAAAGTCTGAGGATCTAGAAAAGGAAGTCACAATTCCAAAGAGACAGTGTGGGATTGTCAGCTCCTTGAGGGCAGGGACTGTCTTTTTCTTACTTGTATCTCCAGCACTTAGCACAGTGCCTGACACCTAAGTGGCACTTACTAAATGTTTACTGACCGATTATATCTATGAGCGTGGCTTCCCCAAGCAGCAGCCATAGCACAATGTCATCTCCTTTTAATAAGATTACTGGAGTAGTGGAGCAGACAGTGTGGATTCACCTCTTTTAGCAGAGCCTTTCATAGAGTCCCTCGAGCTATGCTTACAGAGAAGGAAAGTAACGTGGGCTGGGCAGTAGCACAGATAGAGCTTGTTAACTGGCCAGACCCAAAATAGTGGCAATTATTTATTCCACGGCATCTCAGTTCCCTTATCTGTGAGATGAGGTGCTTGGGCAGGATGACTGCTGAGCTCCCTTCCAGCTCTGCTCTTGGAGACAGTCTGATTTTAGGAGGCCCCAAGGGAGTGCCCCAAGGATCCAGGCTTGGCCTGGGCTACTGACATTTTTATCAGTTTGGATAGATCACATCAGATTTACAGGGTACCTCAAACTGGAAGGTGGTAACTAACTAGCTGGGTCATGGTCAACATTCCACAATATCTGGACAGGCTGGAAGCGTTGGCCCAGAAATGGAACAGGGAGAAGCACAGGGGCTCAGGCATGGGTTCAAAAGGTCAGCTTCACCAGTATAAGGTGGGAGAGGCATGTGGGCAGGCAGCAGTTCATCTGAAAAAAGATCAGAGACTTGTAGAGGATGGCAAGTTCAGTATGAATCAACCGGATAGTTTGGCCTCGAAACAAATTTAATCTTAGACTTGACTAAGAAAAGCAGGGTTATGGAGCAGTAGTGGTCAGATCATATCAGGAGTATTGTATTCAATCAGTCAGGAGCATTTATTAAGTACCCATTATGTGCCAGGCAGTGAGCCCAGCACTCAGGATACATAAAGAAAAGACAATCACTGCCTTGGAGACCTCACAGTCTGATGGGGAGACAACTTGAAAATCACTGTGTACAAACAAGCTGTAGACGGGATAAACTGGGAGTAGTCTCGGGAGGAGGGCGCTGGCATTAAGGGGGATTGGGAAAGGCTTCTTGCAGGAGAAACTTGTAAGAAACCAGGAGGCAGAGAAGGGAGATGTGGGACAAGCCTGGGAAAATGCCTGCAGAGGGAACTGGGAGGAGGCCAGTGTTAGTGGATTGAAGGCCACCTGGGATTGGGGGTGGACAGGTCGGAGTTGATAAGGAGTGACGAGCACTGGAAAGGTAGGAAGGGGGCAGGTTATGAAGGGGTTTAAAAGCCAGAGCATTTCACATTTAATTCTGGAGGCAATAGAGAGCCACTGGAGTTTATTAATAGGGAGGTGATGTGGTCAGATTTATGACAACCAAATGAACATTGGGAGGGGCGGTGGGGGGTGGGGGACGGACAGAGAGGCACCGCAGCAGTCAGAGGAGACAGGGTATTGTATATTAAAGATGTTGTGAAGGACCCCGGGGGGGGGGAGTAGGGGGGTGGATGAGATAGAGAGGACACCTAAGTTTCAAGCCGGAGGGACTGGGAGGATGGTGCCGCGCTGTACAGTAATAAGGAAGTCAGGAAGATGGGGAAGAATGCGTACAGTTTTGGACGTGTCGAGTTTAAGAAGTCTACCAGATGACCAGTTTGTAGGAGAAGGGAGGAGGGAACAAACATTTATTAAGCACCTACTGTGTGCTTCGCACCCCTGGCAGTTATCTGTAAAGAGCTTAGGACTGGCTAAGTGGATTTTTAGTTTCATCTGCATAGAGATGAGAGTTGAATCCCTGGGAGCCACTTTTCAGAAAACGTGCCCAGCCGTGGGGCCATGCAGCTTGGGGAAGTCACAGCTCCTCTCATACCGCAAGTCGTCACACAAAAGTTCAGTGGCCACTTGTCGATTATGATGTCAAGCAGATTCTCTTTCAGTTATGTCTTGGACTGCATGGTTTCTGAAGTCCCTTCCAAGCCTGAGATTCGGTGGTTTCATAAGCACATGGGGCTATCGGCTGAGCCCGTCCGCCTCTGCTCTATCACCAGGCCTCAGGTAAGGAGCGCAGACTGGACTTCACGGCCACAAGCTGATGAGTGTGGCTCTGTGCTGCCAGCAGGGGAGAGGAGGGCCGGCCTTCGGGAGAGACAAGGCATTCAGGGCTCTCCACGAGCCAGCCTCACCACGCTCCCTCATGTTTCCCTCTCCATCTCTGTTGTCCCTTTCCCCGAAGTGCCTCAGATCTCTTCCAAGCTCCGCCTGAGAGCCCCTCCCCACAGGAGGCTGTGCTGGGTTCCTTCTGCTGCCAGTGACTCCACCCACCATTACGTTGTGTTGACGTGGTACGCACACCTATGGGTACTTGCTCTCCTCCATAGAATATAAGCTCCTTGAGGGCAGGGGCCGTTTCACTTTTGTCCTTGTATCCCCAGCACCCGGGAATTAGTGTCTGGCACATCGTAGGGGCTGACTGCTCCACGCGGTACCGTCTACGTTTTATATCTGTCCCAGGGCTTAGGACTACCCTCCTGGCACCCGGCAGTCTCTTCAAAGTGGGAACGGGGCAGCTGGGAGGAAAACAGTTTGTGAAAAAGCAGCGCGTCAATGTGATCCGCTGCTGTATCAATCTCTTTTTTTCCGGACTAGGAAACTGAGGCCCAAAGGAGTTGAGCGGCTGTGAAGCAGCCAGAGCCAGGATCTCGCGCTTTGCACTAAGCCGTCCTGGCTGGAGGGTCACAGACCCGGACTTAGAGGTCATCCGCTCTCCCTTTGTCACAGAGAGACTTGTGCAGCCAGATGGGAAGTGGGAAAAACGAGTCTGCTAGTCAGAAAGCCCAGACTCGAGCCTTTTCAATAAGCAAAGCTTGATTTTTCATGAGAAAACAGGCCTTTCATGAATGCAAGTTTTCTTTTTCTTTGGCACTTTCAGCTTGAACGGCCCCTTCCACGACACTGTCTGCATTCTAAATGTTGAACTCAAACCTATCACCAGGATCCTTCTCTTTGCATGTCGCCTTGGAGCCTCCCCTCCCCAGCGCCTGCCACACCCCCCTCCACACACACCCAGTCTCCAAGGTGTGTGGTGAGATCCTAGCTCCTCTCCTTTGAAGTCAGTTACTAGGGCCAAGGCCCTGCCAAGATTTGAGCAGCTGGTTCCCGACAAGGCTGGAGGAATTTAAAACCTGATCTCTGGTGCAGTGACTTGTCCTGTAGCCGTGGGGGGAGGAGAAAGGGAGGCTGAGGGAGAAAGACCTCTCTTCTCTCCTGGGTGCCCTTCTCCCCAGGCAGTAAGTCTTCCTGGGGGCAATTCTGCATTTAGGTGGAGAGGCCCAGTGGCTTTCTGGTGAACTCAGAGCAGAGTGTGGGGGTCCCCCCAACCCCTACAAAGGTACAAACTAGGCTACTCTTCCTGGAAGGCTGGAGGGCTAAAAAGTAATGAATTTTACTTTTTCTTTCATTTTAGAATATTTCCCCAAATGAAGACTGTGCTTAGGACGGGTTGAAAAAAAATTTTTTTAAGCTCCCCTAAATGCCCCAGACACACTTCATTTCCATTCCCGTAAGGCTGCCTCTTGCTTAAAAAAAGTAAAAATAAATAAATAAATAAATAAAGCACCCATACTAGGCTTAGAACAAGCAGTTTGTTCGTGGCTCGTTAAGCCCATCTTCCTTTACACTTGGGAACAAGATCCCCCATCTTCTGAAGATTTACGTAACAGTGGCTCCCCTGGCCCCCACTGCCTGAAGGCCAGGTAGCTTATATTTCACCCCTTCCCCAGGGTTCTCCAGTACCCTCAAGGGGGTTTAAGGGTGTCTGGTCTCTCTGCCATTGGCTTAAGCCGTCATGGATGCTGTTAGAGAGGTCCCCCTATACCCCCAGTTCCATTTAATCACAACAGTGATATTAGCTTTTACAGAAGAATATTTACTTCAGAGCAAAAACAAAGACACAAACATCCCTCCTTAGCACCTGGGGGGAGTAATTCCCTCCCCTCTGTGCCATCTCAGTCTCTGGGGAAGAGATGAGAATTAGGTTCACAGCTTAGCTCAGTGACTGTATGGCACAGTCCCACCAGTTCCAAAGCCCTCTTTGGCCTTGAGTCCCAGGCACCCTGGCTTCACAGGGTTTCCTTGCAGGTTCAGCTGTAAGACCCAGGCTGGAATCCTGCCTCCAAGCTGGCCATGGCTTGGTCCAGGTCTGGTGGACAGACTGAAACAAAACCTAAAGCTATATATCTCAGGGTCATGGGGCCTAACCGGGAAAAGAGAGAAGGTAATCTTTCCCGTTACCCAGTCACAATCATGATACCTGGGTTGTGGATGAAATGGAGCTTAGTGGACTCAGAGAGAGAGAGAGAGAGAGAGAGAGAGAGACTCCATTTGGTGACAAAGATGAGGCCTGTTCCAATATACAGCCAGTTGAAAGAGGCTACTCCTCTGTACTTGGCAGGGAAATGAAAAATGTCTCCTCTCAAAAGCAGGTACTTTTTGTACATGTGATTGCCTCCGTGTTGGGTGATCTAGATATGTGTGAAGTCCCAGTTGCTTTTATCTGGAGACTAAGAAATCAATACAGTTCTGGAACATGAAAATTTCCATATAAGCCCTGGTAATTCTGGAAGGGCTCCTGCTGGGCTGATGGGATGGGTGAGTGGCTGGCAGGACCTTTACCTAACAAATACTAGCAGATAAGATCTTGGGAAATGGTGCCAGACCCCAGACTCAAGGAATACAGTCTTAGAATTTGGCGTCCCCTCAATCCATCTCTGTTATATTCCCCTTACCCATCCCTACTACTAAAGTAGTATAAGTAGCCACTTCTACACTTCTATACTGCAGCATGCAGACTTAACTATTAGACAATAGCACAAGTGATTATAGCATCACCATTAATATAAGGCAAACGCAATAGTCTTCTAAACATCACAGCTCACTTGTAAACCTGGTTCACCCATATAGTATCCACAGGGGATTGGACACACACTTATAGAAACTTATCAGGGAGTCATGAGTGGGGAAACCCATATGCTTGGAGCGACTTACAGCTCAGGACTGCAGGCCTTCATGTACTCAGTCCCTTCAGGAGCAATCTTTGCTACACAAAACCACATCTTTGCTAGCTTCTCCTCTTCTGGTCCTTGCCACTCTCCTTCCGGGCAAACCCCCTCCTCTTCTGTTCTCTAACTGATAAAACAGTGACAAGCTCTTTTAACATACCTTCATATGTATTAAGCTTACTCTTAGGGTGTTGAGAAAGTGTTGTGCCACAGTAGCGATAAATAGTTCTTTTAAGTCAGAGAACTAAGAAACTTCAGGTTGGCTTTCTGGGCAACACGGGCCAGCCTTGTCAGCTCTTCTTTCAATAGGATTCCGCTTTATCCAATCAGCTCCAACCCTTTTACAACAAAGTAGAGATCACAGTAGAACTCATCAGGATTTCGCAGTGCAGGCAAACCCAGATAACTCGTTATTCAGCAGGATTCTGCTTTGTGTGATCAGCTCCATCCCTCTTCTCATAGCAAAACGGATGCAAAGCCCGTTCCTCCCCATCCCACCCCTGCCCCTGTTTCTCCTTCTCAAACCAGAGATTGCAGTAGAGAACAAGCACACGCCTCTGGAAGGTTTCACCTGTCTCAAGTGGTAAGTGGCCCCGGAGGGCAAAAGCTCAAACCACAGCAGCATTCGACTCTTTTCAAACGAACTTCCCAGAAAATTCTCCATTTTTTTTTTCAGCCACTCCACAAAGCAAAGCTTCTTTTCCAATTGGCAGGCTCCCAGCACAGCAGCTGAAGGCTTCCTGTCCCACTGACCCACCTGCTGGCCTTTTCACCCTCAACTCCTACACAACTGGATTTTTTTTTCGCTCTTCCAGTTGACTCTAATGCCCATATCAGAGCATCCTAGTGGTCAGTGATTCATCTTTCCATTTTGAGGGGAAACCCACGAAATCTATCTCTCTATCAAGTGTGAACTACACAACCTTTATTAAATCTTGCCATAGTCTCCAAGCATCTTTTTTTTTTTAATTATGATCTGGTCACTTTCAAACTCTAAAAACAGCCATGTGCAAACGAACTGATTGTCTACCATGCCTTACAACCTCAGCCATTTCTTTGACCTCAAACACATTCTCTCAGTACCTTCATCTGAGGCAGATTTCTGTCCAGTCCTGACAGTCACTGTCTCTCCATATTTCATCTGAGAAACTGTACATCTTCACAAGTGTATTTTTTATCAGTTTTTCATACACATAAATTTCTTTTTTGTCCCTTGTAGCAATCAAACTGTTTACCTTTTAAAGGGATGATACCTTATACCTTTCAGTAGTTGATTTCATCCTTTTTCCTTACACAAAAGTTATTTTTTGTGTAGTTAAGGAACTAAGTGGCATAGTAGATATAGTGCTGATAGAGTCAGGAAGACCTGAGTTCAAATTCCACATCAAATACTTATCAGCTTATGTGACCCTGAGCAAGTCACTTTACCCCTGTCTGCCTCAGTTTCCTCAACTGTAAAATGAGGATTAATAATAGCACCTACCTCCAAGGGTTGTTGTGAGTATTAAGTGAGATATCTGTGAAGCGCTTAGCACAGTGTCTGGCCCAAAGTAGGCACTTAATAAATATTCATTTCTTCCTTTACTTCCTTTTCTTGTTTGTTTCAGTAACCGAATGTTTCACATACAAAAGAGACACTATCTCACACAGATTATTTTTAAGTTACCTCTGACCCTGGGAGACCCTGGCTGAAGCACCAGCAGTCTGAGTACCTTGGCAGTAAGAAAAAGGTGACGATATCTCTGTATGGAGAGATCAGAATTTGGCTGGTGCTGTAAGAATAAGGTGTTTTTTTTTTTTTAACCCAAGGTGTAGCAGTCCTAGACTGGCCTCCCTTCTCTCTAGGGCAGTGTCAGAGATTGGAGGAGGTTGGCTAGATCACACTAACAGTCACTGACTTTTCAATCAATTATGCACTGAGCCCTTATGTGTCAGGCCCTGTGCTAGGCACTGGGACTACGAAAACTGAAATGAAACAGTCCTTGCCCTCAAGGAGCTTATATACTATTGGGTTCAACATGATTGTACTTATGTAGCCTATATCAGATTGCTTGCTGTCTTGGGAGGGGGGGAGGGTTTGGGTGGGAAGGAGGGAGAAAAAACTCAAAATTTTATAAAAATGAATGTTGAAAACCATCTTCACATGTAATTGGAAAAAAATAAAATACTATTAAAAAAGAATTTTAAAAAATGTCAGTCTTTCTCCTCACTAATGGTGCTGCCATCTTTTCCTAAAACTGGCCAAGATCTATGATCTGATGATCCATTCTTCCTTATCCTCTGAGCTAATGAGAGATAACACAGGAGAGGTTTGAAAGGCCAATTCTTTGCTGAGAAGGAATCCGGCAGCAAGAGCACAGTACCTTGAATCCAAAGACTGGGGTTTGAGTGTGATCTCTCTCTGCCTCTATCTCTCTTCTCTCTGTCTCTCTGTCTCTGTCTCTTTCTCTCAGTCTCTCTCTGTCTCTGTCCCTGTCTCTGTCTCTCTGTCTCTCTCTGTTTCTCTCTGTCTCTCTCTCTCTCTCTCTCTCTCTCTCTGTGTCTCTGTCTCTCTCTGTGTCTCTGTCTCTCTCCTGCTTACTAGCTGTATTACCTTCAACAAATTGCTTCTCCCATCTGAGCCTCAGTTTTCTTTTCTGTAAAATGCTGGAAGAATTACCGGGCACATACCCCAAAGAGATAAAAGACCCATCTGTATATAATCATAGCATTTTTTCACTAATAAAGTTCTCCACCTTGTGTCTGCTGGCCTGCCTAGTTTCAACTCCGTGTAACAAGATGTCCTTCCCAGGATAAGGGCATCACTTCTGAACTCACCTCAGTGGCTTGATTGACACCAACCCCCCTCAGCCTTCCTTTATTTGCTGATTAGCCGGGTGGGGGGTGAAGTATCAAACTCCTAATTCTTTCCTTTATAGAGAGCAGGGACTGGACTCTCATATCACTCTGCCTGTGTCTACTGGCTTGCTTGGTTTCAACTCCACAAAACAAGATTTCCTCCCTCACCCCCATGCTGACTACCGCCTGATATCCTGTTCCTACCCACCCCTTTCCTGCCTGTTTTTATGTTGTCTTCCTCTTTAGATTGTAAGCTCATTGAGGGCAGGGACTGTCTTTTTAATTGTCTCCCCAATGCTTGGCATAGTGCCTGCCCCAGCACAAGTACTTAACAAATGTTTATTGAATTAGATTAATAAAGCCCTGGAAACAAAGTGGGTACCCATCAATTGGGTAACAACTGAAAAAATTGTGATGTATGGAAGTAAGGGAATGTACTATATATATATGAAAGATTCAGAGAAACATGGGAAGACTTACATAAACTGATGCAGAATGGAATTTGCAGAACCTAGGAAGCAATTTACACAATGACAGTAATGTCAAACAACAGTGAAAGACTTAAGAACTGTGATCAATGTAATGAAATACGATAACTTCAGAAGGCTGATAATGAAGTGAGCCTTCAGCCTCTTGGTGGAGAGGTAGGGGACGTAGAGTGAGATGTACATTTTCAGACATGGCCATCATCTTGTACTTGTTTATTTGTTTCAAAGGGAAGTTACTATAGGAACTGGTGAAGGGGGCAGGGAAAGTTAAATTAGTAGGTAGTGATAGATATGCCCCAAAAGAGCATTGATATGACATTTTGAAATACCCAGAAGAAAACAAAAAGTTCAGAAGGTGACAGAAAAAAGGCAATTTTGTTACTAACATTAAATTTAATAATACACATGAAAAACCTATGTAACATTCACAGTTTCATATACAACCTTTCTTTTGTTGTTTTTTTTGTATATTGAAATATTCATAGGCCTTGTTTCTAAAATATATAGAGAACTGAGTCAAATTTATAAGAATACAAGTCATTCTCCAGCTGATAAATGGTCAAAGGATATAAACAGGCAATTTTCAGATGAAGAAATTAAAGCTATCTATAGGCATATGAAGAAATGCTCTAAATTAGTATTGGTTAGAGAAATGCAAATTAAAACAACTCTGAGATACCACCTCGCACTTATCAGATTGGCTAACATGACAAAATAGGAAAATGATAAATGTTGGAGATGATGTGGGAAAATTGGAAACTAAGGCCTTGTTGGTGGAGTTGTGAACTGATCCAACCATTCTGGAGAGCAATTTGGAACTATGCCCAAAGGGGCTGTAAGACTCTGCATACCTTTTGATCCAGCAATACCACCGCTAGGTCTAAATCCCAAAGATATCCCAAAAAGTGGGGAAAGGACCCATTTGTACAAAAATATTTATAGCACCTCTTTCTGTGATGGCAAAGAATTGGAAATTGAGAGGATGCCCATCAATGGGGGAATGGCTGAACAAGTTGTGGTATATGAATGTAATGGAATACTATTGTGCTATAAGAAATGATGAACAGGCAAATTTCAGAAAAACCTGGAAAGACTTGGCATGAATTGATGCTGAGTGAAGTGAGCAGAACCAGGAGAACGTTGTACACAGTAACAGCTACGTTGTACGATGACTGACTTTGAGAGACTCTTCTCAGCAATGCAAGGATCTAAGACAATCCCAAAAGACTCATGATGGAAACTACTACCCACATTCAGAGAAAGAACCATGGAGTCTGAATGCAGGTGGAAGCAGACTCTTGGCTCTCTCTTTTTTTCTTTCTCGTGGCTTTCCCCTTTTGTTCTGATTCTTCTTTCACAACATGACTAATGTGGAAATATGTTTAATGTGATTGTACATGTACAGCCTATATCAGATTACACATCATCTTGGGGAGAGGGGAGGGGAGAGAGTGGGGAAAATTTAGAACTCAAAACCTTATAAAAGTGAATGTTGGAAACTAAAAAGGAAGAAAGAAAATATGGAGAACTAAAAAAAAAAAAAGAAATATTCCTGTCTGGTAGTTATTAGGTTCACAGTAAAGAAAAGAAAATCAATAAAGAAAATGGGAGATTTGTACTAGCAGCTTTCTAGGTCACTTTTAAGCTGTGAATTTGTAAGAGATTGTCTCTTTGGAAGAGGCTAGAGTTGGATGAGCTGAGATTTCTGTCCTCCCTCGTGCCTCTCTCCCACCTACTCTTCAGTAGCCAAAACTGAGTCACAAAGTAAGAGCTTACTGGGGCAGACTATTCTGAGTCACAAGTTAACTTTGGTTTCAAAGCCCATGGGGTTTTTTTGTTGTTGTTTTTTAAACGTCTGTGACATGGGTCTCCTTACAGGTTGAAGGCGTTGCTGTTAGGCCGAGAAGCATAGATTTGAAGAGTAAATCCAACTAAAACCTCCTTGTCTGAGAGGGAAGATGACAGTTTTCAGTCCAACATTGGCAAGGGCCCTGTAACAAAGAGAAGGATGCTCTGATTAGCCTATTTCAAGATCTGGTACTGCCTGAGCTGGTACTAGGAATTCTTTCAACTGGGGCAAAGAGAGAGCTCAGTGTGGGGAGAGGAGGAAGAGGAAAGTGACACAGAAGTCGGTTGGACTCCGGGTGCAGGCGAGAAGGTGGCCGTGCCCAGAGAGTCCGATGGTGCCTCTGGAAGCCTAAGTTAGCCGAGGGATGAGAGATAGCAGGCGTTAGATTTGTGTCTCCAGACTGCCATGGGAGGAACAGCAAAAGCAATTTCAAATGATAATAGCTCACATTTATGTAGGGCTTTAAATCTGAAAATCATTTTACACATTTCATTTCATCCTCACAACAACCCTGTAACATTGGTCCATTTCACAGATGAGGAATCCGAGGTTCAGAGAGATGAAGGAATTTTCCAGGTTCACAACATTAGTCAGCAGGGATTTGAACTCGGGTCTTTCTGACTCCAAGTCTAGCATTTTAGTTCAGGGGATACTGGTGCAACCTTAAGGGAAGCCTCCCACTTCACTCCCAGAAACAAGTGCATCATCCCAATGTTGGCACCCTGGGCCGCCCCACCCTAGTTATGGCTCTGCCAAGCTCTGCTACTGCCCTCTAGGGGCTGCAGCAGGATGTCTGGATAGAAAAGGAAATCTTAATTCCTACAGCATCCACAAACTTCAAACCTAGTTACACATTAAAACCTTTCCCCCTTTTCTTATGCTAAGAAAATGCAATCACAGGACTCCACCCAGTAATACAGTACTGGTCTTGCAAAGCCATCCCCAGGGTTGCTCAGAGGACCACTCTCTGAAGGGCAAAGGAAAAGCTGCAGGAGAAAGGAAGGCCAAGTCTCCGTGAT